AAAAAAAAAAAAAAAAAAAATTGGAGATAGACCTTTCGGATTTAGTAAATTTATTATTTATTTAAGTATGAGTATTTATTAATAAATTTATGGTGAAAGTGTTTTTACGTTTTATTTAGTAGTATGTATTAGTAGATGTATAGTGAAAGTGTTTTCATGTTTTTACGTTGTTGTTATTTCTTCCATGATTCTTACGTTTTTCATAGAAAGGAGACATTTTTATTTTAAATGATGGACTAAAAAAATGATGAATTTAGTAGGTAGGGTTTAAACGGGAAACAGAAATCACACAGTAATTTCTACAAGGAAAGTTAACTATAAAAAATTGTCAACAAGCATTTTAAAGAATTTATATGTTCCTCATATTCACTGTGGTAGCTCATGGAAGGCAAAGAAACTTCGCTTTGCTTAACAAAGATTTAAAACAAGTTAATTTAAAAATATATATCCTCATACAACTGTTGGAAGAAAAAAAAATTGTCAATAGGGCGTTGGCTGGTGCGATTCAGTGGTTAGAGCGTCTGCCTGTGTATGGAAGGGTCTCGGGTTTGATTCCCAGTCCAGGGCACGTGCCCAGGTTGCTTGCTGGTTCACTTCCCGACCCGGTCGGGGAGCTTCCGTAAGGCAACCAACCAGTCAATGTGAGATATCGATGTTTCTCTCTCTCCCCCCCTTCCCTTCCACTCTCTGAAAAGCAATGGAAAAAATATCCTCGTGTGAGGATTAACAACAGCAACAAAAGAATTATTAACAGGGAATTGGAGTAAACAGAACAGAGTGCTAAGGAAAACAGGAATAGCAGACACCTGAGAGCAGCTCTCCCTCCCAAGACTGAGATAAAGCATTCAGGAAGAGGCTGCCTCCTCCCAGGGCTGAGGTCTAGCCCTCAATGCAGAGGGTATGGCTGTGGCTCTCCGGGTGGTGGAAAAGCTCACAGGGGGCTGCACTGGTGAGACCTTCCAGAGACCTGCTTTCTGGAGTGCTGAGGAAGCCATCCATGGGGTAGGGTACCATACCCCAGAATTCACCGTAGACCTCCCAATATATCCTCGTGTGAGGATTAACAACAGCAACAAAAGAGTTATTAACAGGGAATTGGAGTAAACAGAACAGAGTGCTAAGGAAAACAGGAATAGCAGACACCTGAGAGCAGCTGAGAGCACCACAGGGAGGTACCCTACTTTGGGCACTCTGCTGTGAAGCCTCCTGTGGGGTCCTGCAGAAGTCATTTACAGGAAGGTCCCCGGGGAGGCTGCCCCCGGGAGGCGGCACTGCAGCTGGCCACCCAGCAATGCAGAAACAGCTGTGCCAGCTGAGAGAGCCTGATAGAGCAGACCACTGAGATCAGGAAGAGAAGTCCCTTCCTCCCATGGTGTCCCTTCGGCACCCTCTACTGACAAGGCTCAACACCCCATTAGCTTGCAAAGGAGAGCTGCTTATGGGTCCAGGTCCATTATTGCTGAGCAAATAAGGAAGGATGAGTTTGGAGCTGAGAGGCAACAAAATAATAATTATTGCAATGAATTAAGCTGACGGGTGGAGCTTGAGCTATCCACATGTTTATTCCCCGGATTTTCCTATCAGAGAGCCAAGCTCATGCAGGAAGGCCTGAGCTGCTGATCAGCCAGTTGAGCCGGTTGGTTGTTAACCTCCGTGGATGCAGTATCTTTTACAAAAACCCACTGGCTTTTTAATTTCCTGTCTGCCTCAAGGCAGCCTGGACTGAATGTGATTTAAAACATATATATATATAACAATACAGATGTGTCTTTCAGGTGTATTAAGAGAAAATAATGAATTAAGAATACTCTAAATATGTTTAGTAGCTTAATAAATGCCAATCATGGTTTTAAAGTTTCTGCAACATACTCTTTGACCATGTAGCGTCCAAGATCCCGGGCTCTGAGCCACTTACTGGTGGTGTAACCTTGCTGGGCAAATGATGTCACCCCTCTATGCCTCAATTTCCTCTTCTGTAAACTAGAGATAATGATGGTACCTACTTCAGAGGACTGTTGGGAGGATTAAGTGAGTTAATACATGTAAAGCTCTTAGGACAGGGTAGCACACAGCACATCATAAGCACTCTATATGTTAGGGATTATTATTAATATTCGAGCACAGTGCCACCCAAACCAATGTATGCTGGACCTCTCCCAAGATGCCTACCATCTCTCCCATGCTCCTTCCTTAGAATGTGGGCCTTCCTCACAAATACTGTTCCCAAAGGGCACCTGGGCACAGTGCAACCCGAGTCATGTTGTGTAGCGCAGCAAATCCGCCTGTCATGCAGGGCACCGGCTTGCTCTTCTATCGTCAATGCTGGACAAAAAGGCCGAAAGCCAACACAAGTAAGCTGGCCCCCACATCACTGATCCAAACAGCTTGGAGCCTGGCAGTACCAGTGGTGGAGCTTGAAATGAAAAACAACCCAAAACAACGCACAGGCTTGTCTCTGTCACGGCTGACCCAGCTCACAGCCAGGCGCGGAAACAGAGAGGCTTTATGAGAAAATGCCTTTCTTTCCACGCAGTAATTGAATCCAGTTGTGGGTCGAGGTTGTGTATTAGTGGGGTTTAAGAAGGGTTTGCCTCTTAGATACATCGACTCCAGCTGAACAACCTTTTATTTCTGTTAAATTCTCGTTAAGCAGGGTGCTAAAGCACCATGGACAACATAATCCTTTGGAATCTGGCTCTCACACTCACCCTACAGATATGCTGGGAATTCTTGAGGCTTTTTGAAATCTAACCCTCTTGGGTGGAGTCCAAGACAGCCCCCGTGGATACTGAATTCTGCTTTGCAGCAGGCAGTGTTTAGGGCAGTATTGGGCAGCCGAACATTCAGAACACTTTAGACTGACTGCAATTTAATTCCTCTTCTGGGAACTCTCCTGGTGGGATTACTTTCTCCTAGAGAACCCCTGAAGGAGGGAGTTGGCTTGGGGCTAGGACAGGATGTTTCAAGGTCAGATTTGGTTGTGTCTTGTCCCATGGCTATTGCTGTCTGCTGAGAGCATGCTTCCTCCTGTTAGAGAAATGAAACAATCCCTGTTCTAGCAACTGCCACCCACATTAGAACAGCAAGTCTTACACCACCTGGCTGGAATCCTGCCCTGGAGCCCTCAGGGGCACAGATTCGAAGATCCTAGCCAGAAGCCCTTCAGGAAAGCATGCTTTTGAGAAATTGTAATAATTTTGGTAGCTTTAAGATGATGAAATGCTCCCTGTGGGAAGTAAGTGGGCTATGAGTTAAGTTTAAAAGAGTCAAGTTTCTTTCTTAGATATAAAAGCAAAAGAGGTCATTGGGTATCCACTGAGTGCACAGGACTCAGGCATGCAGAAGCTACACCGTGTGGCACAGTCTGTCCTGTCCTCAGGAACTTTATGAGCTTCCATCTGTCTCCCAGCTTCTCCCTGGGAAAGGCTTTCCACCCATATAGGTCAGCGGGCTGGGCAGGGAATACATGGCTCACTCAACCCCAGGAGAGAGTTGACTGAAGGGACTGTCCTCTCGCCCTGGTTGCTAAGCCATCTATTCCTTTGTTCCTTCACTCAGCTATCAAAGGTCTCCAAAGAGTAATCTGTATTTGCTACCTCCATTTCTGACTCACCACTTAATTTTTTTCTCCACTTTACTTTTTAAAGCACTTTATTATATATTTCAAGCATAGAGAAAAGTGTAGAGCAGAGATTTTCAACCTTTCTCATCTCATGGCACACAAATTACTGAAATCCTGCTGCACACCAAAAAATGTTCTATTTTTTGCCAATCTGACAAAAAAAAAAAAAGGGTATAATTTGGATTCATTCATACCGGACGGCTATTGCTGTGTTGGCTGTTGTCATTTTTTTATTTGACAATCTAAGGGAAAAGAGGTCAGTGCCCTTGACTCAATAGTCAGGTGTTGCATGTTTAAAAGTTCTTGTGGCACGCAGGTTGAAAATCGCTGATGTAGAGTACAATATGACCTTCTAAATGTTTACGTTTTTCTCTCACTTGCTTTTTTGTGGCAAAATCTGACCTAGAATTTGCCATTTTGACCACTTTTAAGTGTACGGTTCCATGGCATTCGCTGAGCCCACTTGCTTTTCAATGCTCTGTAATTTGGCCCCAGCCCTTGCCGCTGTCCCGTAATGGTTCTCTCAAAGGTAGCCGGCTTCCCTCCTTCATCTGCTCGGCTCCTTCGCCAAAGTGGAGCCTGCCGACCACCCCCTTCTTAAAGCTCTTCCCTCAGCTTCCCAGACCCCTATTCCTGGCTAGTTAAACTATTTATCTAACTCCCTCTCTCCCTGCTCCCTAAGTGGGGATCCTTCAGGGCCTGCCCAGTTCCCCTTAGTTTTGATTGCTCCCTGGGAAACTCCCAGGTTCCCATCCAATGCTGCGGCTCCAGCCGAGCTCCTCAGTGCAGACAACTCAAGCTGAAGCCTGGCCTCAAAGCTTAGCTAACAGCGCAGCCTCTGAGTCCCAGGCACACATGTCCAGTTGTCTTGTGTTCTCATGTCCCATTGACACCTCAAACTCAGTATGTTCAAAAGGGGACTCATGGTCTCTTCTTTCAAACTCATGTTTTCCCCGTATCTCTCCATGGCACCACCGTCCTCCCACTCATCCCGTGAGGAAATCTTGGTACCAATTTGCCTTCCATATCCATTCTGATCCTGTAACTTCTATCCCTACAGTGGCTCCAGGCCCCACCCCAACCTTGGGACATCTTTTCTATTCTGATAGTCTCCTACCCCCTTTCTCCAGCCTGGAAGACTACAATGGACGACCTCTCAGGTTTCCCTGTATCCACTTTCTCTATTTCCACTCCATTTCACACATTGTTAATACATTATTGTCCTTAAAACATAGTTCTAACCCACCTCGTGAAAAAGCTTCATTAGCTCCCACTACTTTGAGAATAAAGCCTAAGCTCCTTAGCTGAGCCTTCACCGCCCTCCCTGAACCCTCACTGACCTTCTCCTGACCCCCACGTACCCTTTGCTCCAGCCAAAAAGATGAACTGTCTGTCCTCTGGACACATCCCACGCTTCCTTCCTTACCTTTCCACATTCAAAACATGGGTTTCATAGTCTTCTGAAAGACCTCTTTTCTTCTGGTCAAATATGAGTAGCAAAATAAGAGATACCAAGTGAAAAGAAGATTGCCAAATTCCACAAAGTGGAGTCACCCACCTCTTGTTTCCTGTACCAAGCAGAAAACATACTACACTTAGATTATTCTTATCTGACAGGGTTACAAACAGAGCTTTGTTTGTTCATGGAATTCACCAGTTTGGAATGGAACCATCACCTTTTGATAATGCAGACTTTTGTTAGTGACTCTCCTGCCTGGGGCAGCATCAGCTTTCCTGCTTGGAATTTCTGTAGCAGATAAGATGGTAACAAAGACTATCACCCTCAAGCCCGAAGTCTTGTGAATGAGTTACAGGAAGTCAAACATGGCTAACAACCTGATGCAAAAATTAAAGGAAAAGTCAGCCCCTACTGGGTGCTTGCTTCTTGTGTGTTTCAGTTCCAAGCCCTTGACCTTACCAGGAGATGGCATCAGAATGCTTTTAAGAAGCCTACACACACCCTTCACCAGTCCAGCCACACCAACAGGAAAGTTATTTTGTGAAACCTAGGCGGGGCAGCCTTTAATCCAACGATTTTCAACCAGTGAGAGGCACACAGGTGTGCACAAAAGAATTTTTAAAACATGCAGTACCTGACTACTTAGGGGCACTGACCTCTTTTCCCTTAGTCAAATAAAAAAATGACAACAGCCAACACAACAATAGCTGTCTGGTGTGAGTGGATCAAAATTATACCTTTTTTTTGTCAGATTGGCAAAAAATATATTTTTTAGTGTGCCGCAGAATTTTTGTAATTAGTTTATGTGTGCCATGAGGTGAAAAAGGTTGAAAATCACTGCTTTAATGCATGTGAAAAGACCCACGTAGTATATCTTTCTGTCTATACAATATCTGAAATTGTAGATTCTTCTTTTGGATCCATTCTCCATTTAGTGCTATTTCCGTCCTGGTGGCCATTGAGATGTTCAAAAGCAGCCTGAAGCTGTAGCTTCTAAAGGTGCAAAAGTATTTTGAGCAATAAAAGCCCTCTCATAAATTTAACTGAACACAACTTTAGGGAATTTAATGTTTTCTTAGCAGAGAAAGATATTCTGGTATAGACAACCTAGGCTTGAGTTACTTGGTAAGAGCTAGCAGTTTGTCACTCTGGGAAAGTTACTTAACCTCCCTTATCCTCAGTTTCCTCACCTGTAAAATGGGATTATTCAACTGCTTTGCAAAGCTGTCATAAGGATTTACAAATAATAATATGTAAAGAGCCTAGCTCAGGACCTTTAAAAGTTCTCGTTAATAGTGAAATTATTTTTCACACTGGAAATTTAGGTAAAATGGAAGATTAGGTTGTCCTTCATTTAGAATCTTTTTTGGGTTTACAAGACATGTGAGGGATTTTTTTTTAAAGAAAAAACAAAACCTGTAGTGTTAGATAAGCTAATATATGCCCTTCAAATTTGTGTCTACTTAATATTTTCACTTATTTCTTAGTCTTTTCAGTCACTCAGGTGTGACTCTGACACTACGTTTAAAAGCAAAATCTTAAAGATAAATTTTTTTTAAAAAGCAAAATCTTCACATAATATATTTTGTCCTATTTTTCCCTGCGAGATACAGGGAACATTTCGCTGTTTCCCGAGATCGGCGTTTCCGGGGCATCCCCACCGTCCCTAGAACTGGGCTCGATTTCCCCCTAAGGCTCCTCCGCTCCGCACCTTCAGTTCCCGCAGCTGACCCGACGCTTCGCCCCCAACTGCGGGGCTCTGGCAAGCGGCCCAGATGCGGCCAATCAAAACCTCGTATTCCCTGGCCACACTCATTGGTTCCGAAACGAGCACGTGACCTGAATCAATCCAATGAGTCCCCCGGGAATTGTGGGAGCCGCTAGAAAAGCCGCTCCCTGCGCCCCGGGGTAGAGCGACCCCGGAGGAGGTGAGCCTGAGGCAGCGGCGCCATGATGCTGCCGCTCGCACCTGGTCCGGAAGCGACGCGGAGGCAGGCGGGAAATGGAGAGAAAGTTCCAAGGAGAAGGGGATGTGGGCGCAGGAGGGAAAAGTTCAGAGATGAAATGACAGTCGGGCAGAAGATGAAGGAATTAAAGGGGAAAGGAGGGGCGAGAGGGGAGCCTGGATGGGGAAGGGGTGGGTGAGCAGGTGAGCAGCAGGAGGGACAGGACAGGCACCGCTGCCCCGCCCAGCCCCTCCTGTTCCTCCACCTTCCCAGGTCCGCCTCCGTCACGGAAATGCAGTTGCTAGCCATTAAAAACATACCGCCTCCTTGGCACAGCTTACTTTTGGGAATTTATTCAAGGAAATTATAAAGAATATACACAAAGATTTATGTGTAAGGGTGTTCATTGCACCTTAAGAGATCAGAAAGCCGTGACCAATATAAATGCCCCACAATATGTGTGCACAATATTAATCCATTTTGTGTTTGTGAATATACATATGTGTGTATATGTTATATGTAATATATGTTTATGTCATATACTCACCCAATCTGAGAGGAAAAACACAAATGTTAATAGTGGCTGTTTGGTGTGAGATTATAGGAGGCATTTATTTATCTATTTATCCATTTGCTTACCCATATGTTCCAATTTCTTCTACAGAACATGTATAACTTGTGGAGTAAAAAGGAAATAATCAAGTATAATGGCTTCAACCCAGATGAAGCTCAGCTGCTGCCAAGGGGTTTTCCCAGGAGAGCCAGGTAGGGTGCCCACCCCACCCCATTCTCAGGCAGAGGCACCACCTGTGCCCCTCCTATGGGACCAACTTGGACAGCAGCTTTCAGGGCCTAGTGGTGGCTCCAAAGCTGAGCTTGGACCCAGGAACCACCCCTCTGCTGAAAAGGGACACATGGCATGGAAGGCTTTTACTCAAAACTGGACCAGGTCACTCTCTCCTGTTTTCCTTCTAGGCAGACAGGCCACACCTATAAAGAACAGCTGCAGAGGAAAGGCACCAGCCCAAGGACCAGGTGTGCTGGAGTTCACCCAGAGCAAGTAGTGAAAGCAGAGTGATCTCCTGAGCCCCTCCCTGGCCTCATTAACACCTCACTCACTGCTGAGAACCACAGCATAAGATGAAAAGCATCTCCAGAAAGGTAATTGTGTCTGGGGGGCAAAGACAATTTTGGATTTTTGTTTTCAAGACATAAAAGCTTTTTATTTTTCTTAAACATTCTTCCTAAATGTATTATACCAAGTCTACCTTCCCCAGTGGGAAGTAGTAGATCTCTTAATAGTATCTTAGGAAGATCCACAGTTTTCTAGTTGTTTTCGGATACTGTACCTTTTAAAACATTATTTCCAAACTTGATTCTATTCTCACTTCATCCCCTCTCCCACCCTATACAATGTGAGCTTGTACCTGGACCCTGACTAACTGGAGTACTGTTTCCAGGAGAGCCCCCCATCCCTTCTTTCCCCTACCAGGGCCTGTTCCTCCAGTGATGGGCTAAGAGGTAGGACAGGGAGGAACAATGGGTCTTATACCAACAGACTACTGCTGTAGCCTGGTGATGACCACTGCTTCTCTGGCTGACCTGGACTGACTGCCAATGCACTGTAAGAGACAGGCATCCAAATGTTACCTTCCTCTGGGAGATTCCTGTGAGTTCTTCAGAAGAACTTGCAGGGCAGGGATATTGCAAATCCAGGTTCAACCCTTCCATACCCCTCAGCTCCCATCATTGGATGTATACTCTACAGACTCTTTGAATTCAAACTCCCTGAAGAGTCAGGAGAGCTGTCTTGGGATGGGAATGGAACAAATTCAACTACTTTCTAAGTAACATGCACTTGAACCACAGGGAACTCATTCCATGGCCTTGACAAACTGAGTGCATTCAGACTGCTCCCTGCAACCCTTCTTTCTGCCTTCTCTTTCTCCAAGACTCCTCTCTGCTCCTAATGATGTACCAGTAAATCAGCAAATCTTTTTCATAATCAAATGGCCAGTTGGGGAATTCATTTACATAAATAATAAATCTTTATTAAAGATTTCCTTATGATCTCACTAGAGAGAAAGTACGGCTACCCCCATTTCCCATCCCCTCAGGAAAGGGAGTAATCACCTTTCCTCTCACTACACTGCAGTGATCCTTAGATTGACTTCTCTCTCTCCTTCCTAGTCTTATTAGGTAGAAGATGGTGGTTGGTGGTAACAGGGTCACATCTGTCTCCTCATGGGAATTCTCAGTTCTCTGACTCCTATGGATGCTGACTCAGGTATTGAGAACTTCTCTGTTCTCACTCTTGGGCACTAGTAGCCAAGAACAGGGCAACAGAAAGAGTCCTACTAAATAGCTTGTTCCATGTTTAAAGTAAATAAAGTTCTACTTTCAGAGCTTTTCATTCTTTTGTGGAAAGCCAGAATTTTATCAGGTATCATTTCCCTCCTGCCTGAAGAACTTTCTTTAACATTTCTTATAGTATAGGTCCCTGGGGAGTGATTCTTTCAGTTTTTGTATGTCTGAAAAAGTCTTTTACATCTATATTTTGAAAGATATTTTTGCTGGGTATAGAATTCTAAGTTGACAGTATTTTTCTTTCAGAACTGCAAAGAGTATTGTTCCTCTGTCTTGTGACTTGCTTTGTTTCTGACAAGAATTCTGCTGTCATTCTTATCTTTGTTCTTGTTTAAAATCATAAATTTTTTTCCTCTGACTACTTTTAAGATTCTCTCTTTATCACTGGTTTTGAGCAATTTGATTTTGATGTGCCTTAGTATAATTTTTTCATGTTTCTCTTGTTTGAATTTACCCTATTGAATGCTGGATATTTTTTTATTTTTAAAATATTCTTGAGTGTTATTCTGGGACACAGTTATTTGGAAATAGTTTGATCCTTTCAAGACTTGCTTTTAAACTTTATTAGAAAGGATCAGAGCAGTATTTAGTCTAAAGCCAAGTAGGCCCCATTGGTATTCTACTCAATGCCCCATGAATTATAAGGCTTTCAACTCTGACTGGTGGGAACAGGGACTATTGCCTGTCCTGTGTGATCTCTAGGGATTATTCCCTCTAATCCTTTTGGGTGGTTCTTTCCGTGGTCTCGTGTAGTTTCCTCACTTACATGTGTTGATCAGTACTCGGCTAAAGTCTCAAAGGGGACACTCTGCAGAATTCCAGAGTTTTTTCTCTGTGAAACACTCTCCTGTCCAGTATTCTGTTCTGTGAATTCTCGCTTCATTGGTCTCCCTGGGATTCTAGCTTCATCTTCTCTACTCAGGGATACTGCTGGGCTCCACTCATATTCCTCTTCCCAGTGCTGTGGCCTGGAAATGCACTCTAAGTAGTAAGCTGGGGACAATCATAGGACTGGACTCACATGTTTCCACTCTCTCAGGAGTTACTATCACACACTGCCTGTCTGAAAATCACTGTCTGAAAATCATTGATTCAAATATTTGGTCTGGCTTTTTACTTGATTCAGAATCCTGGTTTTAGTGTTCATTTTCTGTAATTCCTGGAATAATGAATGCTAGTTCTTAGATGGGCTTTAGAAATCATATAAGTCCATACCTCCCATTTGCCAATGAAGAAACTGAAGTGGGAGAAGAGACCAGGCTAAGTTTGTGACAGTCCCTGAACTGGGCCAGGTCTCCTGACTATAGATGAAAGTTGTTTGGAAAGTGAGCTCCCAAGAGAAAAGAAGGAAGTTGGGAGACTTCAAATCAAGACTCTTTTGTGTCAAAGAGTAAGTAGAGTCAGTTGTTCTCAGTGTCTCACTTTCTTCCTCATTTCAACATTGACCATGTTTTGTGCCAAGCAAGGAAGTCAGTGATGTTGACCCCTTACCTCAATTTTAGTATTGATAAGGTAGCAGCTTCCATTCCTTCCACATGTCCTCTACCAAGTCAATCTCCTAGAATAACTGAAGAATAGTATCGAATCTCAGAGCCAGGAAGAGGCAGATAGCAGACCTTGGATTGACTTCATAGTCCAGAGTATGAAGGGGAGCCTGAAAATTATCTGAGCCAACATACCATTTTATAGACAAGGAAATGGGGACCAGACAGGTTCACTGGTACACTGAGGCATGGCTGAGACCTTTATTTTGCACTCAGATGCCCACCTGTGAAAGACAATGTGCTTAAGTGATAACCAGTGAGCTTTAATAATGCTGTATTTTAAATGTATGTTCAGCTCACTACATCTTTTACCCACAAGAACCACTCCAATTCCAGCTGGACTTCTGTATCAGAAACTTTTCCAAGTTTTTTTGCCCATGTTTTCGGAACACTTATAACTTATTCATGTACACAGCAGGGTGAAAATTCCTAACAGGGACCTGGAGTCACTATGAGAGGAAGTTTTTGGGGAGGAGGACAAGTGTCGGAGAGAAGGTTGAGGAAGAAGGAAGGAAACAATGAAAGCAATAAGCCCATTTCTCAGGTCATTTTAAATACGTCTAATTTGGATCACTGAGCAGATAAGTATCTATTTTTCTTTGTTTTAGGGACTTGTAAAGGAACTGGCGCCTCCCCATTTACTTTAACACAATACTAAGTACACACTTCTCAGCACGTAAAATCCAGGTTTTGATGCACAGGGAACCTTTGCTTTGCCTTGTTGATTAGTCACCACAATGGGGCCTTTCATTGCAGGACCACACAGTTCCGGCAACGTGACCTAAGAGCTGGCAAAGGTTCTGGAAAGCACAAAGGAACGGAACTTGTCTTTGTGCTGTGAGTGCAGTGTTAGTGTTTGGAGTTACTTGCAATTGCTCCTCGATTCAGAGCTCGGGTAATGGTCTGAGCCACTCAATTGCACTGCTTTACCCCTTTCCTACACGTCTGCGGTTCATCAGTGGCCAGAGCAGAGCAAGGCTCTCAAGGCAGAGAAGGTGGCAAGGCCAGGACAGAGTCCACCTGGGAAAACATAGAAAGAAATTTTATGTCCAAAAAGAAGTCAAAAACACCCCTCTGTACATACTGTGGTAATTAGTTTAACTTCTTTTATGTATTTGTACATTTTCAGAGAGAGTTGAATTAAGCAGAATATGAAAGTAGAGAATTTTCTAATAGCTAAAAGAGTAGGAAAATAAAATTGGGTCATCAAGAAGAGCTTCATGGCAAGATACACTTTGTATCCAGTTGAAGGAAGAACTATTTCAAGCATTGCCCTTAAGGCAGATTTACTGGGTGTTACTTAATACTCCCCACACTGCCCTCCACGGACTTTTATCCCAATCCACAGGAAAATGCCTCAATTTGGGCCTGTAGGAGGGAGCAAGAGAGAGCTGGGCTGGAGTGGCATTCTGTCCATTGATTAGCCTTCACCTCTTCTGAGGGCAGTAAAGTGTTAACCAGGCCTACCGCAACCCCAACACACAGGGAGGCCCTGATGTGCTTTCCAAAGCATCAGCGTGCCCAGCACAGTTTTGGGGGCTAATTGAAAATGGTGCTCATCACATGGAGCTTATGAAACATTTACTATGTGTACTCTGGACACACTGCTATTTCCGTTATCATTGTGTCGCTGAGGACCAGTCGCCAAGAACATCTAGAAAGCTGTGAGAATTTTGACAAGACAAATGTTGTTTATCAAATGCTTACTCTGCAGTAGGCTCTTCACATGCAATATTTCATTTAATGCTGAAAATATCATGAGGAGGACCCAAGATATCCCCTATTTTACAGATGAGGAAACAGGCTTAGAGAAGTTAAGGAAGTGACCCAAGATCACACGCCTAGAGCCAGAATTTGAACCCAGGCTTATCCACCAGCTATTGTGGGTAGACAGGAACTAGGAGCAGGAGGTAGAAGAAAGGAGAGGCGTAGGGAGTGAGATTGTACTTCAGGTGAGGCTGGAATGACATCCCCTATGAATCTCCCAAAGCCAGGTGGAGAATTCCCCTGCACGGCAACAAACCCAGAGACTATAGTGGGAAAATAAAACCAAAGGGGGGGAAAAAAACCCTGCTCCAAATGAGGAGAGAGAAGAGTGTTGATGGCAAAATACCAGTGAGACGTTGTGGTTTATGCTCTTTGTCTTTTTCTCTGGCTCCCCTAGCAACGGTTAAGTAACATCAATGTTACTGTGAAAAACACGCTGACTTGACTTCCTCCAGGCAGCATCACTGCTAAACAGAAATGCGTGCTGATTTCTGCTTCGTTAAGCAAGGGGAACGTCCTTAGGGTCTGCCCAGTAAAAATAGGACAAAAAGCAAACAGAAAGATGTTTTAATTTTAAGGTTAGGTGAGAAGAGAAAAGACAAAACAGGCTTTAAATTATTTTTTGAAATATTAAGCCACTAACAAAATCCTAACACCAAGACGGACAGCAGAAATAAATAAATTGTAAGGGGAAGAGATTTGAGGCTGTTTTGCCACAACATATTGCTGCTGCCACGTTATTTTTGGAGTGTCTGAAAATATCAGTCTTTGAAATACATTTGCATTATTTTTTGAGAAGTGTGTGTCTATAGCCTGAGGGTTGAAAAACAAACAACTCTATTGCCATGAGCTCATGCTGGAGTCTGTGTAAATTGTTTCCCCTCCTTATGTATAATGTTTCTAATTAGGACTATTATGGAGGATGAGCTTTGTGGGCTGGTGAATTGGCTCTTTGTGCTAATTGCAAACAGAGGGCTCTGTGCTGGCTTGTGCTGGCTGACCTGCTTCTTAGATACATGAGTAGACAGGGAGGGTGCCTCCAACCCTGCTGGTCTTGTATCAGACGAATCACCTAGGGGATGCACTCTCACCCCCTCAACCTCACCTGTCCTTAAAAACAAGCTGTCTTTCTAAGATTTGTGAACAGACGACGACTCTGGTTTCTAGTTTGCCCTTTTATTCCAATAATAACTTTAATTAACAGAAGTCCATTTGTAGGTCATTTCTCAAAGAGCAAACTATTTACCTAAAAGGTGTGTACGGTGGACAGTAAACGCTGGCTTCTCCCTCCGCATCAAGCGTTTTAGAAATGTCCCCCTTGGTCGTTTGTGAAGTGAAAGTGGACTCGGACTCAACTTCCCTGAAAAGTTGAGGCATTAGGAGGTGACAGAGGGTATGAGTCTCCTTAGCTTGGAATCTTCCTGCTTCCACTCTGACATGCTTCTCTGTGCCTGTCAGAGACACTGAAGAAATCAACCCTCAACCACATGAATAGCTGATGGTGAGCAGATAATTCTCTGTCATCATTCTAATAACTATCTCATTAATGCCAGTCCTCGTGCCCTTCCTGGGTCTGGCTATGGTGGAGAAGGTATGGAAACACTGCATTGGCTCAACATAGAAGTCTCCTCATCCTGGTCTCAGAGAGCCAAGTAAAGGTCCATTGTTGACCTAGCAAAACATTTCCATTGTGGGACCTGGGAGCTTCATAGTACCTAAGAGGTGTCAGAATTTCAAGGAGGATTGGTGCTGGCTCTGAAAAGCCTCCCCTGGGGACTCTGATAAGCTAAAATGGGGTGCTGGCAGTGGTTTCAGGCAGGCTTCCCATTGCCTCAGGCAAGTTGTATCACTGCCGTGCCCAGACCTGCAGTCGGAATAGCCCAGCCCACAAAGCAAAAGCCACGTTGGAAGAAGTCCAAGCTGGGGCCCGAGAGCCTGACACTGCCAGATAAAAGTCCCATCGTGGCTGCCCCAAGGCAAACTCCAGACATCATCAGGCAGATCCTTCTGTCTATGAGACCATTCCCTGGAGACAGGGAGTTGAGTAGGGCATTGAGTCTCAAAAGCCAGCAGGACGTAGGGTTCGTGGGTAGTCTGGCTGCAAACCAGGCTGAGGGCCTGGCATGAACTACTGCTCTGAACCACAGAAGCACTCATGCCTTATGCCTGGTGGTTTCCCGAAGCCCTTCTGGATGACCTATCCATGACCTAGTTTTCTACCTGGGCTGAAATGAGAAAAACAAGTATAGCACAGTGAGTTTCTCATTAGGCTAAATTTGTTCTATTTAAAGAACTTCCATTTGTTCTGCAACTGTTTCTTTTCTACATTTTTTTTGGTAGAAAAAAGTACTTTTAAGAAACAGGTTGGATAATGTAATAGGTAATATTCTGGGGTTTGCTTTGTAGTATTGCTATTTATCAAAATAAAATATGGCAATAGTATGTTGGTCCTCCATTTTTCTTTGTTCGTGCATTTGTTTTGTTTATATGTGCAATAGATTAAAGATGGTCACAGATTCTTTGGCACTTCTCTCATTGAGGGTGCCACTGATTTGCCTCCTCTTGAATCTGGGCTGGCCTTACTGACTGACTTGGCTAATAAAATGTGGTAGACATGACAGTCTAGAATTTCTTAAAGTAGGTCATTGGAATTCTTGCAGCTTCTGTCCAGGCCTTTTGGAACACTTACTTTTGGAACCCAATTGCCATGCTATTAGGAAGCCCAAGCAGTCACAAGGAGAGGCCCATATACAGAGGAAGCAAGGCCCATGGCCAACAGCACTAGATGAGCTCCTAACCAACTCGCCAGTCATGGAGTGAGCCCAATTGGTAGTGGATCCTAGAGCCCCAGTTGAGCTGCCACAACTTACACCACATGGCGCAAAGACGAGTCCTACCAAGCCCTACCCAAATTGCATATTTGTGAAGAAAATAAATTATTTTTGTTGCTTTAAGCCATTAAGTTTGGGAGTGATTTGTTACACAAAATCGGATATCCAGAAAAGCTTGTTGGTTTAAATAGTTTGTGAAAATCAAAAGTCAGAGATCTGGCTCACATTATTTAACATCTGTATTAGAGTAATGCCCTCCCAACGATGTCCATGTCCTAATCTCCAGAATCTGTGAATATCTTCTGTTACATAGCAAAAGAGGAGCTAAGTGCCATGCAGAAGCCCCCATGATTTGGGGAAGGTGGTTCCTCTGCAGGGCTAGGGGGCTGAGAGGCCCCTAGTTTTCGCTGAGGACTCCACTTTACCCCTGCTTGTTTGTGGGAATGAGGAGAGGGCATCCTGTCACATTTACTGTTTACTATTTCTTGTTTCATGCTTTCATTTCATCTTTTACTTTGTAGAGGGTGAGAAACATTTTTTCTTCGTGAATCTTTTGCCCATATCTGTATTTCGTATCTACTCCAGGAAATACTGGAAGAATATTCTTTGTATTTCTTTTAAATAATATTTAAATTCTTGCGAAAGAACTAAGCTGTGTTCATTATTGAAAATTTTAGAGGAAAACAAACTGCCCATAACCCTAGGATTCAGAGACAATCATTATTAATAATTTGGAGACCAGGATAAACCTGTCTGCATCATGATGTATTCTTTTTCTTTATATTGCTGGATTCAATTTGCTAATGTCTTGTTTAGGATTTTTGCATGTATGTTTATGAGAAATTTGGAACCATAATTTTTATTTCTTATAGTATTTTTCTCTGGTTTTGGTATGAGGATAATGTTGCCCTAATAAATTGAGTTGGGATGTGTATCTTCCTCTTCTGTAGTCTGGAAAAGATTGTGTAGAATTGGTTTTATTTCTTCCTTAAATGTTAGTAGAATTCACCAGTGAAAACAGTTAGTCATACAGTTTACATTATTGAAAGTTTTTAACTGCAAATTTAATTACTTGTTATGGATTTATACAGAATTTCTATTTCTTCTTGAGTCAGTTTTGGTAATTTGTATCTTTCATGATATTCCCACAATATCCTTTCAATTTCTGTCACATTGGTAGTTATGTCCCCTCTTTCATTGTTAATTTTGATCATTTGTATCTTGTCTCCTTTTCTTGTTCAGTCTAGCTAAAGGTTTATCTTTTCTTTAAATTGCTTCAAAGTACATACTTTTGGTTTAATTGAATTAATTTCCTATATTTTTCTGTTTTTTATTTTACTGATTTCTATGCTGATTTTTATTACTTCCTGTCTTCTGCTTAAGGTTTCATTTGTCCTTTTTCTAATTTCTTAAGGTGAACATTGAGTTAATTGACTTGTAATATTTCTTCTTTTGAAATATAGGTATTCAGTGATATGAATTCCTCCCAACCACTGCTTTAGCTGCAACTCATCATTGATATGTTGTATTTTGTTTACTTTAAATTCATAATGTTTTAAAAAAAAATTTATTTCTTCGTTTGCCCATGGGTTATTTAGAAGTGCATTGTTTAACTTTAAAATATTTGGGGTTTTCCCAAGTTTCTTTCTGTTGATGATCTCTAATTTAACTACATTGTAGTCAGAGGACATCTTTTGATTAATTCCAATCATTTTAAATTTATTTAGATTTGTTTTATGACCTAGCATATGATCAATACTGGAGAATGTTTCATGTGCACTTACAAAGAATGTGTATTCTGCTGCTGTTGAGGTATTTAAGTCTTCTTTACCCTTATTCATTTTCTGCCCAGTTATTCTGTCATTTATCAAAAGTTGGGTATTGGAGTCTCTGACTATAGTTATGGAATTTCTTCTTTCAGTTTTGTCGATTTCTGCTTCATATATTTTGGGGCTCTGTTTTTAGGTATGTATACACTTCTAATTATTATATCTTCCTGATTTATTGACAGTTTTATTATTATAAATTACCTCACTTTGTCTCCAGTATATTTCTTTCTTTCTTTTTAAGATTTTTTTTAATGGATTTTTAGAGAGAAAGGAAGGGAGAGGGAGAAAGAGAGAAACATCGATGTGAGAGCAAAATATTTTAGAGTATGATTTAGATTTTCTGTTTCTTTACAAGTCTCATAATTTTTGTTGAAAACTTAATATCTTAGATAATATACTGTAGCAATTCTGGACTCTGATTTCTTTACTCAGGTGGCTCTTCTTTTTTGATCAACTTTTTTGACTTAATCTGCAGAACCCTGTCTCCTACAGTTTGTGGCCACTAATGTCTCTGCTCAGTTTCTTGTTTTTAATTCTTATGTTTAATTTTTAGCCTGTCTCCCTAAGTCTTGTTTCTATGTCTGCACAATTGAGCCAGTGATTGGGCAGAGGTTATGCTCAAATACCTTAAGCTTGTAAGATCCACCTTCTGCTGATGAGTCTGTGTGTGGGTTGAAGAATGCATTCAAAGTTCAGTCAGTTTTCAACTCTGCCTAACTTTTACTTTCTTCCAGGATCTCTCTTGGCTTTCCCGTGTACACATGCATAGTTTCCTGGTCAACCAGGGATGTGTGGAGAGTTTATATAGCTTTTCTATGACTCTCTCATTTCTAAGATTTCCCCATTAAATTTCTAGTTGGTCAGCTGCTAACTCCAACCAGGACTGCAATCTCAGACTAGCAGAGCTGTGAGGTTTTTTTCCAATTTCTACTGAGTTTGCTACTTTTTCTGACAACACTGCTGGGTGTGGGTTTTCACCTTTTATTCCAAATCAAATCCATCCCCCTCTGACAGAGAGGCTGCTGATTTTCAGTGTCAGTATTGCCTTGGTAAAATTACTAGACTAAATGTGCTGGGGGCACAGGGTTGGGAAGCAGCTCCAGACATGAAAGCCACAGACTCTCATCATTTTTACATAAAATTTTAGCAGCTTTTCATGCTAAATGCTTCTCAATTTGTTGTTTACCTTTGGCTAATTTCCAAAGCCCTAAAATTGTTTTCTGCAGTTTTTCCCAGTTTTATATCTTATTTTTTGAAATTAGAATTTGGCAACCACTCTACTCTGCAATAGTTAGAATTCTCACCCAATATATGCTTTTAAAATGCAATCACACTGCACATTCTGTTTCGGACACTGAAAAGTCTATCTATTCTAGATTTTCAGTCTGATTTGTGCATTTGATAACTTGGTTTCCTGTGGTTGATTTTCTGAATTCCCAAAATGAACTTTTGGAATGATTACCTCCTTTGACCTAGAATCCCTTTAAAACTCAAATCTTAAATGCTCATGCCATCAGGAGACTCCTAACTTGAGCTCCTTAAGCCCTAAAGGTGGTAGACAGTAGTAACAGTGACAGGGAAGAGCAATTTATATGTTATTTTCAATATTTCAAAAACGCCACGTGGAAGTTGTACAATTACCAGAGATAAGGCTAAGCTAATCACAGTGTCCCATTTCTAAGTTTTGGGCTGGAATTACTTCAAATCAAAATAAGAATTCTGCTAATCTTATGCTGATCAGAGGTTTTTGTTGGTAGTTATAAATAGCACTGATTAACAAAAGTAGAAGGGTAAGCCAATTATTACCTAATGATGCAGGTAATTTTAAACATGGGTGTGGGTCCAAGGGAACAAAGTAACAATCAAAGGGACCCTTGGAGATAAAATAGATGGAAAACTCTTAGCCCAGATCTCCCTGGTTCAGATGAGGGAACCTGAAGCTAGTCCAGTAAGCCATATGGCAAGTAAATAGCAGGACCCAAACCTGTATCTATCGGCAACTCAACCTTTTAGCCTAGAAACATATTACAGCACAGAGTACACAGTCACTGTCAATTAAGTCCTATGATTTAAAGAATATAAAATAAAACCAGTACTATCTAACAGAACTTTCTGCATTGATGGAAATGTTCATATCAGTACTGTCCAAAATGGTAGCCACTAGTCACATGTAGCTGTTGAGTACTTGAAATATGACTAGTGAAACTGAGGAATTGAATTTTTATTTAATTTAATTATAGTGGCTAATGTTTGGGAGAATGAAGATACATTTGTACCATTCATAAAATTAAACTCCTCTTCTAAGCTATCCAAAGTATAAGGCAGTTATTTTCTAACTTTAAATTATAGAATCCCTTCTTTAAAAAAATTTATTGTTCCCAAACCAATTTAAAATGTAAAGTAATTAACATGCGGGTAGGGGTGGAGTCCAACTGCTCTCTCCTCTACTTTCGTCCTTTGTTAACTCTTACCTGTCCTGACCCACATGGGGCCCTTG